AGACTCCTTTGGAAACGGGACCGGTGGGAAGACGGCTGGCGGCCCGTCAGCGGCCGCTGCCGGGATCAACGGCCGGGGGACGGGGGGCGTTCCCGGCAGCGCCGCCAGTGCGCCCCGGCCGGCCGTGCCGCCGCCGCCGGGCCCCGCCGGCCACTCCGTCGCCCGCCTGGCGCGGCAACCGGCCGGTCCCCTGGGCGACTCGCGCGCAATGCGTTCTTATGCGACAATTCCCAGCGTCGGACTGGACTTGACGCCACGGGCACCGCGCGGCGGCCGGTCCGGCGCCCGAGGGACAGCGCGGAAGGCGCAGCCATGGCCGAAGGTCCGCACGAGGTCTTGCCGGGGGCGGCCGCGGGAGCGGGCGAGACCACGCGCGCCGCCGGCGAGCCGCGGCCGGGCGCGCCGCTGGCCGGCACCGAGGTCTTCGCCTTCGACGGGCGCGGCAAGGGCAGCTTCGACGAAACCCACATCGTCGGCTCGGAGATCGTGCGCGGCACCCCGGCGCCCGAGGCGGTCGACCGCGCCCGGCGGGTGCGCAACATCGTCGAGCTGGTCGGCGAACCGGAGGTCTCCACCGACTCCATCCGCTTCATCCTCGACGGGCTGCGGGGCGTGCGGCCCGGCGACCGCCTGAGCGACCGGGAGCTGCGCCAGTTCCGCGACCACATCCGCGAGGAAGCCGGGCGGCTCAAGCGCCTGCACCGGGCGCGCCCGGTCGACCACGCCCTGGGCGAGCGCAAGCTGGCGCCGGTGCCGCCGGTCAAGGGCAGGGCCGGGGGAGAAGCCGAGGCCGGGGGCGAAGCCGGGGTCGGGGGCGAAGCCGGGGCCGGGGACAAAGCCGGGGCTGGCACCGGCGGGGCCGAGGGCGCGGCCGCCAAGCCGCGCGACGGCGCCTTCGACCCGCCGCCGCAGTTCTGGCTGGAGGGTCAGCAGGTGCGCTGGAAGCCCTACCGCGCGCTGGACTGCACCTGGGCGCTGCTGCGGCGCGACAGCCGCCACCTGATCGAGATTCTGGAGATCGACCTCGACCGCAAGGAGGAGAACCTGCAGTCCTTCCGCATCAGCCACGAAGAGAGCTCGAAGATCGTCGAGGAGCTGACCCGCATCATCAAGCACAACCTCAGCTCCGCCATCACCGCCGAGAGCCTGGGCCTGACCTCGACCGCCAGCATCGAGTCGGAGGCGACGGCGCGCGAGCTGGCGGAGATCGCGACCCGGCGCCAGTGGGTGCTGATCGTCACCCACGTGCGGGTCGAGGTGACCCTGCGTCTGCGCCGGCGGATCGACATCGTCGAGACCTGGGGCTGGCGCGGCGCCGACTGCCCGCTGCGCAGCTACGTGCCGGACCGCCACGCCTATTCCCTGCACGGTCCGGCGCGCAGCTACAGCCTGGTGCACACGGCCGAGTACCACCTGCTGCGCCAGGATCTGGACCACGCCGAGGTCAGCCACGCCTACTGGTGGGAACGCACGGAGGAAGACTTCATGCGGCGCTTCCGGGCCAGCTTCAGCCCACCCGCGCGGCCGGGCGGCCCGCCCGGCGCCCCGCCCTGGATGCCCGAACTGCCCTGGCCGCCGGACACGCCGCCGGACGTCCCCTGACGGCGCGCGGGCGCGGCCCGGCGCGCGCCCTAAGTCCAACGAAAGTCCAGCAGTCCGACGCCCCGCCGTCCCGCCTTCCCGCCTTCCGCCGTCCCGTGTTCCGCTGTGCCGAACCCCGGCGCCCCGGCCGCATGGCGCCACCCCCTGTGCGTCAGTTGCCGACGGCGAGGCTGGCGTTGTTGCCCACCGCGGTGGCCGTGGAGGCGGCCAGCGGCCGCCCGCTCAGGCCCATGTTGACCTGGTTGCCCACCGCCACGCGCGCGATGCCGGAGGTCGCGGTCACGTCGTTCGGGCTGAACTGGGTCAGGTCGCCCTGGACCACCCCGTCGTTGGGGCCGGCCGGCGTCACCGAGAGCGCGACAGTGTTGGCCACCGTGGTCGCCTCGCTGGCCGCGGCCGCGCCCTCGATGTCCGCGACGGTGGCCAACGAGTCGAGATCGCCCTGGGCGACCACGCCGGCCAGTACGCCGGACAGCAGCAGCAGGGCCAGATCCTGGTTGAGGTTGTCGCTCTCGCCCACGGCCTCGCCGGCCGCCGCAACCGCCGCCGCCTCGCCGCCCCCGGGCGCGGAGATCTGGCGCGCGAAGGGCGCCTTGGCCAGGGCGAACTGGCCGACGGTGAAGGCGACCGGCACATCGCTGCCGACGTCCAGGTTGTTCGCCACCGTGGTGGCGGCCGCGGCGACGTAGCCCAGGTCGACTTCGGCATCCAGCGCCGGCCGCCCCTCGGGCCAGGCGACGGTGACGCCCTCGATCTGCGAGACCGCGTTGGGGTCGCCGATCGCGAGCTGCAAGGCCTCCAGCGCCACGGCGCCGCTGGGCGTCAGCTCGGGCGTGACCGCGACGTCGGTGTCGACGTCGGTCGCGGCGGTCAGGCTCCAGGCCCAGTCGACCTGCTCGAAGGCCCAAGCCGGGGCCGAAACGAGGCCCCCGCCGGGCAGACCGCCCGAAGCGGCCAGTGCCAGGACCAGGGCGGCGCGGCTCGCGCCCCGCCAGACTGTGCGGCTTTGCATGGCGTCTCTCCTTCCGCCTCCTCGGCGCCGACCAGCGACCCGCCCGGGCCGCGCGGCGCGCCTCCTGCGTTCGGTCAGTTTCACCGCTGCGTGTGGGGCTGGCGAGAACCTCAACGGACAGGCCTACCCGCGCGGATGGGCAGGCACCCGCGCGAAAGAGGTAGCGCGCCCGCGCCGCCCGTCCCCTCGGGGCAGCGCGACGCGCACCGAAGGAGGCTGCGGCGAGAAGACGGCCCCGCGCGCAGGGGCCGCTTGGGGGCGTCCGTTTGGGAGACGTCCGTGTGCAGTGCAGGGCGCCCCGAAGCGCGGGCAGCGCGGCCGGCCGCACCTGCCTGTCACGGCCCCTGTCCTTGCGACAGGGTGCGCGCTCGAGGCCCGCGTTCGCCGCGGGCACTCCGCGCGCCGCCGCTCAGGGGCGCAGGGGCTGGCCCGTCTGGGCGCGGCGGCGCAGCGCCTCGATGCGGGCGTCGTTGGACAGCGCGTTGCCGTCGTTGGGGCCCATGATGCCGGAAATGGCACCGGCGACACCGGTGCCGGCCGAGTTTTCCGCCGACTTCTCGGCCGACTTCTCGGCCGGCTTCTCGGCCGCCTCCCCCTCGCCCGGGCTTTCCTGGTGCACCGGAGCGGTCGGGGCGGCCTTGAGCCGAGACTCCTGCGAGTCGGCCTGCCAGTTCCAGGCCGGCTGCTGCGCCGCCACCGGCGCGGCGATCGCCGAGAGCGCGACAAATCCCAGCAGTCCCCCCAGCAGCAGGCCGGCCAGGCCGGCGGCCAGGATCCATGCAGCAGTGCGAGACACGACGAGGCTCCCTTGCCGGTGCCGAGCTTGCCGGTGCCGAGGCCGCCGTCTGCGACCCGTCTGCGGCCGGCCGCAGCACGGCGCCTTCGATCTGCCGCGCAGCATGCCGCCGCCGGCCTCTCCTTCGCGATTGACTGGAGGGAGAGGAGACCTCGCCCGAGGAGGCAGCCGCCTGGCTATTCGAACAGGGTGTCGACCGGCAAATGGTAGTAGAGGCTCAGCACCTCGGTGCCCGGGTTGTCGTCGCCGATCCCGGCGTTCGACAGGTGCCCGAAGGCCAGCGACAAGCGGGAGCGGTCGTCGAAGCGGTAGCCCAGCTCGATCGTCGAGCGAAACTCGATGGGGCTGCCGAGATCCTTGCCGCCGCCCTCGTAGAAGCCGCCGACGCCGGTGCTGCCGGTCAGCACGATGCGCCGGCCGAAGTAGATGTCGATCAGCAGGCCGCCGCCGGCCCACAGCGCCCCGGCCGAGGTCGCCTCGATGCCGGCCCAGGGCTTGACGATGTTCAGGAAGCGCTGGCCGTGGCGGTACTCCAGGCGGAAGTCGGCCTGGTTGTCGTCCTGGGCGATCAGGTCCCACCAGCCGGCCCCGAAGGAGAGAAAGCCGGGGTCCTCTTCGGCCCAGGCGCCCCCCGCACCGAGCCAGAGCGGCAGGCCGACGAGCATGGCAAGCAAACGACGCGGCATGGAACGGCGTCCCCCGGACAGGCCCCTGAATATTGCCGCAAGAGTTTACTTTGTGACTGAATGTGGGCAAGCGCTGATTGCCGGCCGCGACCAGGCCGCGGTCTGTCCGGCCCCGCGCGGGGCGGTATCACCCCGCCTCCTCCGACCTCACCCGGCATCACCGGTAATGCTTGTAGCGCTCCGTCGCCTCGACCAGGGCGCGGCGGATGCCCGGCTCCATCGCGGAATGTCCGGCGTCCGGAATGATGCGGAAGCTGGCGGTCGGCCAGGCCCGGTGCAGGTCGTAGGCCGAGGTCGGCGGGCAGACCGTGTCGTAGCGCCCCTGCACGATGGCGCCCGGGACGTCGCGCAGGCGCTCCGCCCGCTCCAGCAGCGCGCCCTCGGGCAGGAAGATGCGGTTGACGAAGTAGTGCGCCTCGATGCGCGCCAGCCCCAGCGCCATGTTGTCCTCGCCGAAGGCCGCCACGGTCTCCGGGCTCGGCATCAGGGTCGAGCAGGCGCCCTCGTAGGTGCTCCAGGCCCGCGCGGCCGGCAGGTGGACCCGCGGGTCGGGGTCCATCAGGCGGCGGTGGTAGGCCTGCAGCAGGTCGTCGCGCTCGGCCGGCGGCACGAAGCCGGCGAAGCGTTCCCAGACCTCGGGGAAGTAGGTCCGCATGCCGTAGAGGAACCAGGTCACCTCGCTGTGCCGGCACAGGAAGATGCCGCGCAGCAACAGCGCCGAGACCCGCTCGGGATGCGCCTGCGCGTAGGCCAGCGCCAGGGTGGAGCCCCAGGAGCCGCCGAACAGGTGCCAGCGCTCGACCCCCAGCCGCTCGCGCAGCAGCTCCATGTCGGCGACCAGGTCCTGGGTGGTGTTGGCCCGCGTCTCGCCCAGCGGCGTGGAGCGCCCCGCGCCGCGCTGGTCGAAGATGATGATGCGGTAGGCCTGGGGGTCGAAGAAGCGGCGATGGTCCGGCGAGGCGCCGGCGCCGGGTCCGCCGTGCAGGAAGACCACGGGCTGCCCGGCGGGGTTGCCCGACTGCTCCCAGTAGAGGGTATGCAACTCGTCCACCGGCAGGCGGCCGGTCTCGTAGGCGTCGATGGGCGAAAAGAGATCGTGGGCCGCCATTGGGTCTCCCTGAGCGGTGGCCGAGCCGGCGCGGGCCCGTTCTTATATCGCGCCCGCCGCGGCGGTCGACACCCCTGCGCGCCGGGAAGCTGTCTTGTGCCGGCGGGGCGCCCGGGCGCCGCTTTGTCGCCGTCCGGGGCCATGCTAAAGCAGCGGCGCAGAAGAAAAAGTCCGAAAGAAAAAGTCCGAAAGACAACGTCCGAAGGATAGCCCGATGCGCACAGCCGAGACGAAAGACGCAGAGCAGCCCGCCTTCGCGCCGACCGACCGGGCCAGCTACGTAAGCTGGAGCCGGGACGTGCTGCGCTATCGCGATACCGACCGGCAGGGCCACGTCAACAACGCCGTCTACGCCACCTTTCTGGAGTCCGGCCGCACGGCGATGATCTACGACCCCGAGCGGCCGCTGGCACCGGCGGGCTGCGCCTTCGTCATCGCGCGCCTGCTGCTCGACTACCGCGCGGAGGTGCATTGGCCGGGTACGGTCGACATCGGCACCAGCGTGCTGCGCCTCGGCCGCAGCTCGATGACCCTGGCCCAGGGCGTCTTCATCGACGAGACCTGCGTGGCCAGCGGCGAGACGGTGCTGGTCCTGATGGACGAGACCACCCGCAAGTCGCGCCCCTTCACCGAGGAGATGCACGCGCGTCTGCGTCCGCTGGCGGCGCCCGGCGTGGCGCTTTAGCGGTTTCGGGCCCCCGACATTTCCACCTGAGGCGCCACGGGCACGGCCTCTTCGGGCACGGCGCGTGTTAAGCTGGCCGCGCCACTCGCAGCGCCGCCCCGCCATGCGCCGATCACGCACGCCGCCCCTCCTGCCGCGCTCGCTGCCGCTCCGGCTGCTGGCCGTCTGGCTGCTGCTGGCCGGCGGCGCGGCGGCGCAGACCGAGACTCCGGCGCCCTCGGCGACGCGCGTTGCGGTGGCGGCGGAGGACGCCACGACCCTGCGCTTCGCCGACGGCACGCGGCTGCGCCTGGCCGGCC